AAGGCGGGCATTGCTGCGAGGGGCGCAAGGGCGGCCTGCATGTGGCCCATGTGCGCTCCCATCTCGTCATGCAACCCACGGAAGCGATCATCCATGTAGCTCCTCAAGCGCAACCGCTCGAAGTGTGCGGTCGCCCATGCTGCCGGAAGCCAACACAAGGGGTCAGTTAGCATCGACCGTCGTTGAACCGGCAAGGGACACACTGACCAATCCCGGTAGCAGCCGCAATACCCACTAGTACGATGACCAGCGCCACGTATGGAGCAGTCTCCTCTGCGGCGTGCGTGAGAGTACACGAAGCAGAGCGCTTCTGGTCGACGTTCGGCGGCGACGCGCCGGCAATGGCCTTTTCGCGCGACGTGGAGGACAAGTTCGTCTCCTTCCCGACCTCGACCTCGCGGAACGAGGTGGTACTGAACGACGGAGCGAGGTAGGAGGGGGCGAGAGGCTGGTTGATGAGGAGGGGAAAGGCCAAGCGGCGGCGGGGGCCGACGTAAGAGCGGAGGACGGACATGGCGCAACACCGGTAGCGAGTTCTGTTCTACGTCTGAGCGTGTCAGACGGTGTGGTCGCAGGAGGAGGAGGAGGAGGAACTCGCGCTGTGAGCGAGCATGCTGTCGAAGCGAGGTACTTGACAACGGCTCAGGGCGGTCTGAAGGTTGTACGGTAAACCATGCGATATGCTACTGCACTTGTTCACGTTGACGGACCTGCAGCATGAGCGAGACGGCGACCCTCTCTCGTCCTGCGGCGACGGTTCACACCCAGTCCACACTCGCCCTCGCCAACTAACTTGTTTGTACTCGCAGAACGTCCGCACACGTACGCGCAAGCTCACCGTGGCAGCCACACCCGCCCGCACTGACCTCGACTCGTCCTCGACCCTCCTCGTCTCGCTCTCACTCAACTTCGCATCGCCTTCGCCGGCACCCGCTCACTCGGCGCCCTGCTTGACTGTGCCGCGCCGCACCGCACTCTCTGGCGCGCCACAACCCCCCGTCTATCCCGCTGCAGCACCTGCGCACACCTCGCGCGACTCGAGGGCTCTTTCTTTGTCCCGTCCCCGAGGTCGACCCGCAACTCCCTTCGCCGGGCCTACCAGCGCGCTCAGAGGACTGCAGTAGCGTGTAGAGGGACATTGCGCGTAGCCAGGTGCGTCTCTCCTGCCCCGAAGGATCGAGGGGACGCGCCGACTCGAAGAGGAGGTTGTTTGGGCTCGCTCACATAACTGACTTCCTTCCGCTCGTCTGCGCATCGTGCAGTCTCGCAGTCCACTACGATGGCGTCTCCACCCTCTCCAACGCACTCGACGCACTCGTTCCTCTCGGAAGACCCCTACCCCTCGCACCCTCACCTAGCCCACTCCCTGACGCCCCCTCGCTCCTCCTCCCCGCCCCTCACGCCCGCAACCCTCCTGAACCGCCTCGAATCGCTCCTCCGAGCCAAAGCAGAAGAAGTCCAACTTGCAGGCCAACTCGGCCAGGCGTTGTTGAGCCAACAACAGGAACTCGAGGCGAGGATCAGGGAGATTGCGGAGGTTTCCCGAAGGTTTGGAGTGGAAGGGGAGGGGGAAGAGAGTGATGCGAGTGGGAGTTCTTCGGGAATTGGAAGGAAGGAAGTGGGAGAGGAGACGAAGAAGAGCCTCAAGGCGCTCGAGGACGAACTCGAGGTTTGGGAGCGCTCGAATGGCGAACTGTATCAGGTCGTCGGGACTGCAGCGGCGAGGGGCGTACCTGCTCTCGAGGCGGTCCCGCTACCTTCGTCAGACGGCGGCATCCGTCGTCCACGCAGCGCATCACTCGCCAAACGCCCTTCCATGGCCGACCTCTCGTCCTCCCACGCTGCACCCTCCGTCGATCCTTCCTCCGACCGCCGAGCCCGAAACGCCCCCTCCTCGCACCGCACAGCCGACATCGAGCTCGCGACCGAGATTGGGCAGTCCCTCCTCGTCGAGGTGAGGAGGTTGCAGGCGTTGCTTGTTGAGAGGGACGAGAAGCTCAGGGTGCTGGAGGGCGAGAGGGAGGAGTGTGTGAGGGAGAGGGAGGCGGCGGAGAGTGCGAGGAGGAGCGTCGAGGAGAGTGTTGGTGCGTTCGACGCCGGTTTTTCCCTTTCTCGTCTGCCGAAGAGCCACACGCTGACGAGATTCGGCCCTCCGGTGATGGCACAGAGCGCTACAAGGAGATCAATTGGGAACTCGAGCTCGCGACGCAAGACCTCCGCACCTCGCTCACGACCGCCCAGTCCTCCCTCCAAAAGACCGAATCCGCCCTATCCCGCCAAACGAAAGACCTCGCGCACACGCGCGACGCACTCGACTCTCAGCGCCTCGAGACGGAGAGACTCGCGAAAGAGCTCGACCAGCTCAAACAGAAGCACGAGACGGACATGGCCAATATGCGCAAGGCCCAGGCTGGGTTGCAGCGCGATAAGAGCGACTTGCAGGGAACGCTCGAGGGATTGAAGAATGAGCTCAAGGGCCAGAAGAGGACGTTCCGCCGCGGTGGAGCGCTCGGTGGATCGCCCGGACCTGGGACGCCTGGGTGGCGCGGACCGAACGGCGAAGGGTTCGACGACGACGAGTTCGGCGGACCGGGAGACGACGTCTTCCGCTCTACTGCGCGTCGCAGGACAGGCGAAGGGTTCCCCTCCTCCGTCTTCGGCGAGAACGACCCGGACGCAATGTTCGGCGCGACGGGCGACTCGCCTTCCAACTCGCCTATTCGCCCTCACGGCTACGCCTCGGAAGCCGACTCGCTCCGCGCTTCGCTCGCGCACGCGCAGAGGCAGATCCAGACTCTTCGCACGAGCTTGCAGAGGGAGAAGCAGGGCAAGATGGAGTTGAGGAGGAAGTTGGTTGGGCTTGGTGGGACGGTTGGAGGGAAGGATGGGAAAGGCGAGAAGGTTTGGGGAGACGACCCGCTCGATGGGAGCGATTCGGACGAGGACGATGAAGGTCTCGCGGGCGACTTGGTCGGCACCAAGCCGAAGAAGCAGAAGCTTGCGGCGGCAGGGTACGTCACGACCGACGAGGAGGACGACGACCTGCTGGCTGTCTCGAGGACGCCCACGAGGCAGAAGGGCAACTCGCTCGTCGCGCCTCGTTCAGCTCGCGGGTCTGCCCGAGGCTCAGCGCGCGGACGAGGCTCGGCTGCTCGTCGCGGTGGCCGTGTACCGTCTCGTCTCGCCCGCGCCGCCTTCTCCGACTCGGACGACGCCGTCGAGGCCAAGTCCGCGATGGACGTCGACGACGAGGCCTCGCCCTTCCCTGCCGCCGCGCTCGGCGATGTCGACGGCGCGAGCATCTTCGAGCACCGCTTCCAAGACGAAGAGCCCTCGCCCGCCTCGACTCGCACCCGCGCCGACGACTCGTTCGATATCGACTCGCCAACTCGCGCACTCGACTCGAGCGTCCTCTCCCGCGCATCGTTTACCGCTCAGCCTCGTAGGACCGACCGTGCCGTCTCGGTCGAGACGGAAGACTCGTTCTCGATGTCGCGCGCTGGCGGACCTACGCTCGCCGACATGCTCGGCGGTTCGACCACCTCGGCGCGCCCACCTCGTCCCGCCTCGATTGGCTCGCTCGCTTCCATTCTCGGGCGGACCAGGCAGGTCTCTGTCGGTCCTGTGCCGGAAGAGGAGGACGAGGTTGTGCAGAAGACGTTCGCCGACAAGGGCACCGCGACCGACCCGATTCCGCCGCCCGAGCCTGTCGAGCGGATCGTCGAGAAGGAGGTCGAGGTCGTCCGCACTGTGGAGGTGCCCGTCGACCGGATCGTCGAGGTTCCCGTTGACCGCATCGTCGAGGTTGAGAAGCGGGTTGAAGTGCCGGTCGACCGCATCGTCGAGGTCGAGCGGATCGTCGACCGCCCCGTCGAGGTCATCAAGACGGTCGAGGTTCCCGTCGACCGGATCGTCGAGAAGCTCGTCGAGGTCGAGAAGCGCGTCGAGGTCCCTGTCGAGGTCATCAAGATCAAGGAGGTCCCGATCGAGGTCGAAAAGGTCGTCGAGCGCGAGGTCCGCATCGAGGTCCCTGTCGACCGCATCGTCGAGGTGGAGAAGCGCGTCGAGGTTCCGGTCGAGGTCATCAAGACGGTCGAGGTCGAGAAGCGGATCGAGGTCCCTGTCGACGTCGAGCGCCGAGTCGAGGTCCCCATCGAAAAGGTCGTCGAGCGCATCGTCGAGGTGCCCGTCGACGTCGTCCGCACGGTCGAGGTCGAGAAGATCAAGGAGATCCGTGTCGAAGTCCCGGTCGAACGGATCGTCGAGCGTCTCGTCGAAGTCGAGAAGCGCGTCGAGATGCCCATCGAAGTCGAGAGGATTGTCGAGCGCGTCGTCGAGGTCGAGGTGGAGAAGCGGATCGAGGTGCCCGTCGAGGTCATCAAGGAGGTCCGCGTCGAGGTTGAGAAGCGGGTCGAGGTTCCGGTCGAGGTGGAGAAGCGTGTTGAAGTGCCTGTCGAGGTGGAGAAGGTCGTCGACCGCATCGTTGAGGTCCCGGTGGATCGCATCGTCGAGGTTCCCGTCGAGCGCATCGTCGAGGTTCCCGTCGAGCGGACCGTCGAGGTCGAGCGCATTGTCGAGCGCACTGTCGAGGTCCAGGCACCCAAACCCTCGACAAAGGACGCCAACGTCCAGGCGACACCTCCCCAGCCCGCGCCTGTCTCCCTCGCCAACGCCGCTTCCCGCATGGAAGACCGCGCTCTCGCCAACCAGCCGGCTCTCTCGAAGCTCACGGCATCCTACGGCACGATTTCGCAGGGTGACCGCGACAAGACCCTCTCGTCCTTCTCGATGCTCCGTGGCTTGCGATCCGCCCCGAGCGAGTCGTCCGATGACGACGCTCGCTCCGAGTCGACCGACCGAGGCGCGCCGAGCCGCCAGACCTACTACACCGACACGGAGACGGAGGTCGACTACGAAGATGCTCGCGAGTCTCTCGGCGGCGCAGCTTCGTCTCTTGGCCGTCCCTCCTTCGACCGCCAGCCTCGCCGATCCTTCTCCGGCACCACCAATACGCGCTCGACCTCGATGCAGGACTTTGTCTCTGTCGGCTCGGGCAGGACGGGCGCGTTCGCCGACGAGGACGACAGCGAAGCCGAGGTCCTTGCTGGCGAGGACGACGACGAGACGCAGGCGTTCCGCCGGACGATCCGCGGCCGCCAAAGCGACCTCGTCTTGCCCGCCGAGCCCGAGGTCAAGACTGTCTACGTCGACAAGGTCGTTTACGTCGACAAGCCGGTCGAGATCGAGAAGCTCGTCTACGTTGATCGCGTTGTCGAGAAGCGCGTCGAGGTGCCGGTCGAGCGCATTGTCGAGGTGGAAAAGGTCGTCGAGAAGGTCGTGTACGTTGACCGCTCTGTGCCCACTCCTGCTCCGACACGAGCAGCGGAACCCGAGGACGACCTGGACGAGGCGGCTGCACGAGCTTCCGCCTTCCTTGGCGATGCCGACTCGCGCCCCGTCACGCCTTCTCCCTTCAACGATCGCTCGTACGTCGAGCTCGGCTCGGCGGCCGTCGCCGAAGGCAAGGGCAAAGAGGCCATGGGTCCTCCGCCGCTTCCATCGGCTCGCAAGGCGCGCAGCACGATCTCGCAGGCCTCGGCCAAGTCGACTCGCCAGGCGCCGCCTCCTCGTCCGACGTCTCCCCCTCCCGCCGACCTCCTCTTCCGCGCCCAGTCGCCCACGTTCGACGACGAGTACGCGCGCAGGTCCACCTTCCTCGCTCCGCCTGTTCCCGGCGCAGCGGGCCAGCACACCTTGCGGTCCCAGGCTTCCGGCTTGTCGACCGCAACTTCCACTCGCTCTGCTGCTCCTTTCGCCAACCTCAGCAAGGTCCGCCAACCCGCCTCGACCGACGTGGCTGCCACGCCCCGCAGCGTCCGCATGTCTCGCCAGCAGCTGTCCGGCACGTCTGCTCGCTCACTCTCCGAGCTCAGCATGCACAGCGACCTTGGCGCGCACCGACGCATGTCGATGGCGTCCGAGGCGACGAGCGACGGCGGCTACGACGCGCCCGGCGCTCCCTTGCCCGGCTCGACTCGCGCAGCTGGCGACTCGACAGACCCGGAAGTCATCCACGCCATCACGCAGACGATGATCGGCGAGCACTTGCACAAGTACACGCGCCGCAAGGTCGGCAAGGGCTACTCGGAGAACCGCCACCGCCGGTTCTTCTGGCTCCACCCTTACAGCCGCACGCTTTACTGGTCGGCGGTTGACCCGACGGCGCCGACTGCCTCGCAGGCCAAGTCGAAGAGCAGTGCGTAGCGCCGTCCCCCGTCTCACGCCTTCAACAAGCTGACGAGTCCTCCGCTCTACAGCCTACATCGAGAGCGTCCGCCAAGTCCTCGACCCGAACCCCTTCCCGCCCGGCCTCCATCAGCACAGCATCATCATCCGAGGTCCCGACCGCGAGTACAAGCTGACGGCGGGCACGAAGGACCGGCACGACATGTGGTTCACCGTGAATTCCGTTCTTCCGCTTCTAGCCCGCACTCCGCTCACTCTCCTTCGAACAGGCTATCAACTACCTCATCAACCGTCCCGAAGGCTCCGGCGACGCCGCCAGCACGCGCAACTCGCGCCGCGCGCCGAGCACGCCGGCGCTCAACTCGACTTCCTCGCGGAACGGCTCAAAGTCGCTGGTCGGCAACGAGTCTGGCGACTTTTTCGGCATTCCCGACAAGATCTATTCGTTCGGTGCCGCCAGCCTCTCCGAGTCGCGCTTGACGCCTAAGGCTCGCCAGTCGTCCAAAGTCTCGGTCGGTACCTTCGGCACGACCCCTCGACGACCCGAGACGGCTGCAGCGCAGTACCGCCGTCAGAGCGTCATGCTCGGGAGCCCGCGCTCGATGCGCTCGATGAGCAACTATGGCGACTTTGATGCAGCGGACGGGAGCCTCGAGGTTGTTGACCGCAACGAGCTTCCGGACATGGCGGATGAGGATGAGGACTTTGAGGGCCTCGAGAACGTCAGGGTCTGCTGCGGCGAACACGATGGTGCGTAACTTGCTCTTGAATGGAGTAGGGCAATCCGCTGACACGCTTTCGTCTCGCAGTCGGCAGCCTATCCCGCCGACACCGCAACTCGCACCACCGGCACGAGCACTCCTCCAGCGCCGACTCGCGCTCGAACACGCCCGGACCTCGCCCCCCCTCCCGCGCACGCTCCAAGTCGTCGTCGAACACGCTCGGCTCGCTCTCGCGCAAGATGGCGAGCATCTCGACTCCGCGCAAGTCGCTCAGCGGCAAGCCCGCCCTCCCTGCTCAACCGACCTCGGCTCGCCCGCTCTCTCCTCTTCCTCTTGGCGAGCGCAACGGCACTGTCGGCCGCCGCACGATTGCATAGACTCCCCCTTCGCCTTTCCCACGAGTTTGTCTATATTTCCGCCTGCTGTCACGTCTTGCCTCCAGGTTCTTGTTCCACCCGCATTGCTGAGCGTGGAATGAACCGTCTTGTCGGTAGGATCTGGCCGTTGGCGAGCTCAGAGACGAGCGAGAGTCCACTTGCAGCGGAGCGACGGGAAGTCGGGCTCAGCCTCCTTACACAGCGGCTCGCTCGCGCTAGGCTTGCATTGACAGCTCTTGTGCACGTCCAGACCCCGCTTGCACCCGCCGCCACCGCCCGCGACGCCTGCGACGCCCCTCCCTCGCCTGCTCACGTCATCAGCTCCGCCTCGCTTCGGATGGACGGGACACGGTTGGAAGGGCTTGCGCGGCCTGTATGATGAGATGAACTCGCTCTGTGTGTGCTGAGTGTGCTGTCCGAGTTGCTGGATTCGTCAGCGGGCGTGCGCGGCGCTCCACCACCCAGCACTTGCCAGAACTTGGTCGAACAGGGCGGGCCTCGGAGGGGATGACTGGTCGACCCTCCGCCTCGCTTGCTTTGCTTCTTCTTACACCTCCACTCTCCACTCTCACTCTCCACACTCTCCTACTACCGAGCCACCCTCTCACGCCACCCGCCACCCATGTTCGCCTCGTCGTACTCGCCCCTCGCCGCCTACCAGGAGCAGATCGAGTACGCCGTCTACCTCGCCGCCCAGCAGCAGGAGGAGACAGCCCACCGCCGTCGACTTCACCAGCAACGTCAGGCCGAGATGGCGTACTTCGCTGCTGCGGTCGAGCAGGAACGCCGTCGACAGCGCCGTCTCGCCATCGAACGCCTCGTCGCCGCTCAGGAGGCCGAACGTCGTCGTCGCCTGCAGGAACAGCAGGCGCAGCAGCGAGCTATCGAGGAGGCGCTCGCTTACCGCGCCGCACTCGCCGCCGAAGTCGCCCGTCGCCGCGCCGCCATCGAGGCTGCGCAGCGTGCCGCTAACATTGCGAGGGAGCAACAGCGCCGTCGTCAGGAATTCGAGCTGGAGCAGCGTCGCAGGGTGGTCGAGGCAAGACGCGCGAGGCAGCGGCAGGCGCCGCTCTCTCAGGCTCTCTTCGAGGTCTTGATCGAGTTGGCCATTCCCGCTCTCGAAGGTGAGGCGGACAAGGCTTCACAGTCTGTCGACAACACGCCTTCGGTCCCGACTCCCGCACCCCGTTCTGCCGACGAGTTCGCTCCCACCGTCGCCGTCCCTCAGCCCGCCTCCGAACCGGTTCCTTCGCCATCCTCGTCCGCGCGTGCGCCCGCGCCTGAGGAGCCCACGCCTGCCGAGCCAGTCGACGCAAATGCGGCAGCGCCTGCTGCCGAGGGGCCGACCGAAAACACCTCTGCCGCCGACCGCCAGTCCGCCCTCGACTCGATCTCCGCCCTTCGCGCCGACCTCGAGTCGCACCAGACGGCTTTCACCTCTCCCTCGGTCTTGACCTTCCAGTCCACCACCCCCGCCGACTCGACTCCCTCGACCCCTCCCCTCTCTTACGGCAAGTCCAACACGGCCTTCCTCGCATACGAAGACTACCTCGTCTCGCTCCTGAGCAAGATCGACGCGATCGAATCGCATGGCGATGAGGCAGTCAAGCAGGCGCGGAAGGAGCTTGTCAGGCGCGTTGAGAAGGAGTTGGACAGGTTGGACGAGCTGAAGGATGCGGAGTGGGAGAGGCAGAGCCAGAGGAGCTCGGCGACGGGGTCGTCTGCGCACTCGGATGATGAGGACGAGGCTGCTCAGCCGAAAGGTGCGTTCCCGCTCAGTCTCTCGCTTCGTTTGATCGGCTGCTGACTTCCTCTTCGCCAACAGCTTCGCCTGAGGCCGCCGAACAGACTGTCACACCCGCTATTGACGCCGCTGTCGAGTCCGCCGTCGACGTCGCTGCCGAACCCGCGCCCTCCGAGTCGACTCCTCCATCGACTGAACCTCCCTCCGAGCCGACCTCGACGTCTGAGCCTACCGAACCTGCGACGACCACTTCTCCCGCTTTCTCCGAAACCGACATCGTCCGCTCGTCCGCCGCTTCCGACTCCCCCGCTCCCGCCTCGACGCGCCCGTCTTCCCCTCGCCCTCGTTCGCCTACCATCACCGCCTTCGCCGGCGTCGCCCTTCCCTCTATCTTCCACGCTCCCGCACCTTCGCCTTCGACGTCGCCTGCGAATGAGGAGACGCTGGTGAGCAAGACGGGCGAGGGCGCCAAGACGGACAAGGAGGAGAAGGATGTCGTCGACGAGGTGCTCCAGCAGGCTGAGGCGGTCGACCCGGCGCCCGCTCCGCTCGATGACGAGGAACGTCCCGCTACGAAGGAGGAGAAGGAGGAGAAGGCGGACGCAGCGGCGAGCGAGGCAGACACGGAGGAGTTCGTCGTTGTCTAGCACCTTTCCTGCTGTACTCTGCTTTTGTTTTCCTGTCCATCGCTTTTAGTTGTAGCACTATCGCATCTTCTGCAACTGCTTCGTTCACTGTACTTGCGCGAACTCGCTGAGAGACCGCTCCGCCATCGAGCTTCGCAAGGTCGCGCTTTCCTCGACTTCGCGTTGACAGCGCCGCTACAACGTCAACTTGATCTTCGTTACTGACTGTGAGTGCTGCGGAGTAAGCACTGAGGACAAAATGTGGCTACAGGAAAGAAAAGGGTAAGGGCGGGACGAGTAGGTACAGGACGCAAGGCAGCGCAAGACAGAGAGAGCTGTACAGATTGATGGCTTTCTCGGACTGGGCGAGTCCGATCAGGCAAAGAGCTTGTGAACTGCCTTGGCGAGGCGACGAGCCTCGTTCTGCGCGAGCGAGACGAGGTCGTCCGAGTGCTCGTGGTCGTGGTCGTGGTATTTGTGAGGCGGGGGAGGAGGGAGGAGGAAGTCGTGGCCGAGGACCTGTGCGAACCCGTCCGGTCGTGAGCAACCGCCAGTAGCCACCGAGGAGAACGGGGAGCACAAGGGCGAAACGCACCTGGATAGCGCCCGCACGAGCAGGGACGTCCGTGAAAGCGACCTTGACCGGGTGAGGCCTCGGGATCCTACCGTGGTCGTCTCCTCCCTCGTTGCCCCAAACACGGCGAACCTCTTCCTCCTCCTTCTCCGCCGCATGGTGTCCATGATGGCCCCCATGACTGGGGAACACAATCACGTTCCTCCTAATCGGGCCTTTGCCAAAGAACGAGCGGTACGAGACGACTCCGATCTTGAGCGTCGCGTTCGGGTTGTGTTCGGTCAGGAGGGTCGGGAGGACGTAGTGCGTGATGTTTGCGCGAGGGCCGGGGTGTGGGCGTTCCGGGACGTGAGGGGGCGGGTGAGGGTGTTCGTCGGACGGGCGACGGCCGGGGAAGGGCGGGAGAGACCAGTCCGAGGGGTGGAAGACCTGGCTGTGACCTTCCGTCACCCACTCGAGCGGAACCTCGACGTCGACCTCCTCCTTGACGACATACTCGGAGGCGATAGACGAGTCGTTGTGGAGGAAGTCGGAGTAGAAGCGCAAGCCGGGGACGACATGGTACGAGAGAAGGTACTTGAGAACCCTCTTGGCGAACGGGATGGGCGAGTGCAAGAAGCCGTTGATCTTCCAGCCGAGTCGGGCAAACGCCGCGTTCGAAGGCGCAAACACCGTGAACGAGTCAAGTCCCTTCTCGGCGGCGAGTTCCTCGACGATGCCCCGGACGAAGGGCGAGCCGACAAAGTCCTCGGGAAGCTTGGTGTCGGCGTCGTTAGGCGGGAGGAGTGGCTCGTCGAGTCCGACCTTCTGAATGGCGTTCGTCAAGCCCGCAAAAGCGCCAGGAAAGACGAACAACTCGTTGAGGACGGTCCAGGGCGGGAAGAGCGGTGCCGAAACGAGGTGGATGATGCCGTTCTTGGCGATGACAGTCGGGCCGCGCTTGTGCGAGTAGACGTTGAACTTGAGCGTCGGGTGGGGGAAGGGGAAGGTCTCGAAGCCGGGGGAAACGCGAACGCGAGACTCGTCGAGGAGGGTCGGCACGGTCGAGCGGTCCACCAAGTCGTGCGAGTTCTGCGACTCGGGAATGACGTGGTCTGCGTAGAAAAGGAGTCAGCATTCGTAGCCACGGAGAAGGGAAGGAAGAAAGGATTCGAGAGGGAGGAGAAGACGAGACGCACAGGCGCCGACCACAGCGATGATCTTGCGGAAGATGCGCTTCTTCTCCTCTTTGTCCTCGTCGTCGCCGTCGGTGGATGCCGCAAGCTTGGCGAGCTTCTCAGGGCTGAACTCGTGCGAGTGGAACGGGTGCGAGCGTTCGCTCAGAGTCGCCGCAAACATGTCCTCGACCGAGCGCTCCGGCTGGCCGGCGAAACCGTGATGGTCACCGCCTCCACGACGGTGAGGCGGGGTGAGAGCCATGTCGTCGGGAGCGAGGAGCGTAATGCCGTCCTTCTCGAGGAGTTTGGCGGCGTCGGGCGAGAAGTTGACAAGCCAAGCGAGACGGTGGAGCGGGAGCTCATGGTCGTGGTCGTCGCCGCCATGCTCGCCACCGAGCGTGCGGGCATGCTTGCAAGGGCGACGAGCCGCGAGACCTTCGCGCAGCGTGCGGTCGACGAGGCGGACCTCGCCATCCTCGTGTTCCTGGTGGCGATGGAAAGACTGGTTGACAATCTCGAGAATGGTGTACTTGCTCATGTCGATGACGGGCGGCGGGAGCGGGTGAGAGGGCGGGTGAGGAGGGTGGATCCCGTCGTCCTGCGTCTTGGCGAGGTCATCCTCGAAGGCGTCGAAGGTGTCCTGCACGAGACGCTTTCCCTCGTCGACGAGGTGCTCGAGGTACTCCCTCAGAGCATCCTGGACGGCGTGAAAGTCGCTGGGTGAGAGGTCTGCGAGGGGCCGCGCAGGCTGCGGACTCGGAGTGGGGATGCGAGCGTCCTGGAGGACGAAGGGCGGGGCTGCTGCGACGAGTGTGGCTGCTGAGCTGGCCACGAGTGACCACAGTGCTGCCCTCATCGCTGTCGTCTGCGGTGTGTGAGGAGAGCGAGAGAGCCAAAGCGATGAAGTCGTCGTCTCGCAGCGAGACTCTTCGGCATCGGCGCACGCAGTGGGGGCCGCGCGCAGGGTGAAGCGATTCAAGCCATTCCGCATACACACGCTTGCAAGACTCTCCAAGGCCGTCATCTTCGCCCGCCGCTCACCAAGTCGTCGCCGCAGCCGGCCGTGCATCCGGGACGAGAAGGTCAAGCGGAACAAAGTTGCAGACTGCGAGGATGCGATGCGGTGCGTGGAGAGGCAAGACTGGATCGTTGTGATTTGGCAAGGGCGTGACGGGAAGCGGCAGAGTCGGACGGCGGGGAGAGTGAGCGTTCGAAGAAGCGGGCGAGCTGTGAGTGGAAAACTCGTCAACGACGGTCAAGCAGTCGTCAAGAGCCTAGGGACTGTGGACGCACCCAGCTGGGTCACGCTGGGCGCCGCGAGAGGATGACAAGCGAGAGGATCAGGTCGTCCATCCGCTCGACGATTGTCGACCTCCGCTGCGCCTCCTTCTGCACTTTCTCCTCCACCCGATCCAACTCCGCTGCAACCCACCCCTGCTCACTCTCCACGCTGTCAGCCACCTCCTGCAACCGATCCGCCTCATCCGCCAGCTCGTCCGTGCGCCTCTGGAGCGCGTTGTTCGCCCGCAGGAGGAGGCAGCCGCAATACTCCCGGATCGAGTTCGTGAGGCGGCGTAAGGCAAAGCGCTGCTCAATACAGTCGCGTGGTGGCCCTTCGTCGAGATTGGGAAGCTTGATGCCCGGCCGTGGCGCGCTCCATTCGGCGTTTCGGGGGCGGAGGGGATAGCCCGCGCCGTAGCGTTCGAGGGTGCGTTGACGCGGGAAGAATCTGCGCAAAGTACACAGTCAAGAAAGGCAAAGAAGTACCGTGATTAGAGAAGTCGAACGCACCCGACCAGAAGCTCTGTCGGTCTATTCTCATGCGCGGTCAAATTATAGCCAATGTCCCAATCACCATCGTTCCTCTGGAGGACCTGTATGCAATCATCGACCTGAAAGGAAACCGCTTGTTAGCGAAGGACATATAGCGCGTATCCGAGGGAACATTCACCTCAATCCGAAGCTCCTCGGGGGTCTGCGGCTCGTGCGGGCGGATCGCGAGCTCTATACCTTCGCGGTCCGGGTTCAGTCGCTCATGTTGACAAGCGTCGATGACCAAAGCCCTCTTCATCTTCGGCGAGTCCCTTCACGCCATCTCGCAGTCAGCAAGGGAAGAGGCGATCGAGAGGGACCAACGCACTCGAGAATGTACTCTTGCTACGTGACAGCAGTCCGTCAAGTCTCGGCCAGACGGCGACATGAATCGCCAATCTCGTCTGCCTCCTTGACCAGGTGTTCGAAGTCGGCTTTAACCGAACCGAGGTCGGCTTGCGAGATGGCGATACCGGCGGGCAAAGCCTCGAGGATTCCATGACCTTTGAGCTCTGACAGGGTGACCGGAAGAGCGGCTTGTTGCTCCGGGGAGAGGAAGAGCGCCAGTCGAATCCCGGTGCCTTCTCTGCTGACGATGGTTTGGTGCGGCCAGACGACGCGCCGAAGCATTTCCTCCTCGCCGTCAAGCGTCAGAGGTAGAGCCAGTGCGAGAGTTTCCATCTCGGCGTGCTTCTGCCTGTAAGTGGGCGAACAAAGGTTGTAGACGAAAGAACAGGCGAAGACGACCCTCCGAAGCAAGCGAGATGTCACGCACCCGTAGTGCGCCGAGAAAGCATTGACGTCCGCGCGATGCTGCTGGCGCTCCCTGACGACTTCCGCCGCCACCTCGTTGTGCTCGTTTAACGACTCGCAGAGTCCGAACTGCTCCTCCTCCCAGTACTCCAGCAGCGCCTCCACCTCCTCCAATTCGTCCGACAGCTTACGCAGCTTCGCCAACGCATCCTCCTGGATCTGTCGATGGAAGCTGAAATGCGCCGGAGGATTGACGGCCGTGGAAGTCGACGCGACAGGGTCGTGCGGAGAGGGGAGCGAGAACAAGAGTGAGGCGGCGTCGCGGGCGCGTCTGGCACTCCGAGTGTTGGCAGCGGGTCTATTAGGGTCTAGCATCGCGACTGTCATTCCAGCTGAGGGAGCGAGCGGGTGTGGAAGCGGCCAAGCGACGCGCGGCGATGAAGTCGCGAAGTCGGTCGCTTCGACTCTTCGTGCAGCCTCTCGCAAGCGAAAATGGCAGGACGCGGAACTCGGGAGTATGAGAAGAACGACGCGATATACGCGTTGCGATTGCGAGAAGGGTGAACATCAACAAAAAAGAAAGGTCGAGTCGGGTGAGAACGAATCACGGTCCACGGGAGAGAATGATGAGCGGAAGTATCTCGTACACGAGCTTTTGAGAGAGCTGGTGATGGCGAATTGTGTCCGCCTCGACCGCCTGGTGAAGTCGGCGATGGTTTCTGGGAAGCAGAGTCGCTTCCTCGTCGTTCTGCCGGATGTCGGCATCGAGTCCCGCAAGAACTTCACGCCAGTCTTGCCTATAGCGCACGTAGGCGAGGACGAGCCGAAGGTGCTCGGTGGCCAGTTGCTGGACGAACGAGTGAAGGACGTCGCGAAACCTGAGGTAGTGGGCGGTCGAGTCGACGGAGCGAGGCGTAGGGTGTGACGGCCGTTGGTCGGGAAGACTCTGTCGTAAGTCTGGCTGTGAAGGAAGGGATTGGAGGCAGACACCGGGACTCGACGTAGTGCTGGCTGCCAAAGGGCTCAAGACTCTGTCGATGCTCGCGCTGCGGAAGAACCTGAGGAGCGCGAGCAAGTCAGCTCGCATTACGTGAGTGATACATAAGCCGACGAACCCGATGCTTCGCTCAGATGGCCGCTCAGACTCCGCCGTGAGGTTGAAGCCGGACATCCAGCCGTCCTCGAAGCGTCTCATCACCTGGATGCGATCACCGACCTAGCCAGGAGGAGTGTAAGCATACAGTCGGCTGGTGATAATGCAACGCAGCACCTCGATGCGCAGCTCGTCATCTTGCGATGGCGCATGAGGAAGAGTCGCAGCTTGCAGAACAGCCGCCGGTCTGTGGTGGTGGACGCCGGTACGGGCCGGATATTGCCTGTAAGACAAATGGTCACCAGGGTTGCATAATGTGGCGCAAAGGTGCAGAACGTACCCGTCAGTTGGATCGGTCAGGAAAAGCACGGTGAGCCAATCGTCGTTCTCCTGAATGACAGACGCTTCTTCTTGCTCGCAAACCGAAAGGATCCGCGAGCGCTCCTTCTGCTCGGAGAGGCAATCCGCCTCGACCTGCTCCGGATCGTCGCGGCATTCGACATGCGTGAAGAGACCATCGAAGACAGGGTGCTCGCGCAGGTCGGCGATTGACTGCGGCAGGGAGTCTCGCTCGGATGGAGTGAGGTACATGAGGAACTGCGGAGGCTTGTCGGCCTCGTCCAGCTCGACGTGCTGACGGCGAAACTTCTTGGCGAACAATTCGAGCAAGCGATTCCTGAGGGTGAGCCAGTCCTGTGTCGACTCCTTGAGGACTAACAGCAAGCGTCTGTCTCCGCTCTGTCAACAGCTGGCCATGTGAAACGCGGCGCCTCCGAACGCACTGTGTCTCCTTGCGGACCTGCGGACCCAACATCGCTGCTTCGCTCTTCCTGTGGCGCACACTCTCCACCCGCTCCTGGAGGTCAAGGCGAGCCTTTCGCGTCTCCTCGAGTGCCCGCTCCGCTTCAGCCAAACCACCCTCCACCTTGTCCAACGCCCGTCGCAAGGGGTTGACCTTTGCGAGCGAGTTCTCCTGCAATTGGCGGTGGAAGCGCAGGTGTTGTCGCTCGATCGCCGCAGACGGGTTTCCTGCGCCTGGCATAGCTCACAGCAGCGTTAACACTCCTCTCGAGCAGTGAGAGGTGGTGGTCGAGGAACAAGGGAGGCGGAGTGGGGCTCGAGCGAGAACGACAACCTCATCTACCGCAAGAGGCTTGCTGGACTGAGCGAGAGTGACCGCTGGATGGCTGCGGGCAGGGAATGGACCATGGCGATACCTCCAGCGAACGTCGCGAGTCCCTTTCCTCCTCATCAACTCGCTCCCTCAACATCGCCCTCGTCAGCGACTACTTCTTTCCTAAGGTCGGCGGAGTCGAGTCGAGCATCTACAGCCTAGCACAGTCGCTAGTCAAGCGCAGCCATCGCGTGCGAGACGTTCCCTGTTCCGCTCGGCCGCGACTTGGGCGCTGACCCTCTCGTCCGACAGGTTGTCGTGATCACGCACGCCTATCCGCCTAGAAACGGCGTACGATGGCTACCGAACGGCGTCAAGGTGTACTACATTCCCGTCCAGCCCCTCCCGCCAACCCACGTCCACGCTACTCTGCCCAACTTCTTCACCGCCTTCCCCTGGATCCGGTCGATCCTGACCCGCGAGTCTATCGACGTCGTCCACGCACATGCGGCACTGAGCGCGCTCGGGATGGAGACGATCATGCACGCCCGCACGATGGGCGTCAAGGCGGTCTTTACGGATCATTCTCTCTTTGGGCTGGGCAATATGGCCGAGATCTGGGGCAACAAGATGCTCAAGGGGTGTCTGAGCGACGTCGAAGCTGTCACATGCGTCTCGCACACGAGGTACGCCAGCTCTCGCCGCGAAGCTTGATGCAGACGTGGACTAACCTCGTCTCGTCCTGTAGCAAGGAGAACACCGTCCTGCGCGGCGCGCTCAACCCCTCCCTCGTTCACGTCATCCCGAACGCCGTCGTCGTTTCGCAGTTCAGGCCGGCTGAACCTGTTCCTCCTGTACCCGACATCCGTGAGCGGCTTCCCAGCTGGAACGCCTGACATCGCTGACTCATTAGCTCGTGCAGTCACCATCGTCTGCATCAGCCGCCTCGTCTACCGCAAGGGCATCGACCTCCTCATTGCCGCCCTGCCGAAAGTCTGCGCTCTCCACTCAGACGTGCGATTCCTGATCGGCGGCGACGGACCCAAGATTGTCGAGCTCGACCAGATGCGCGATAAGTACCAGACGCTCCTGCGGGACCGCGTCGAGCTGCTCGGAGCTGTCAAGCACGAGGACGTGCGAGAGGTGCGCTTACGTTTCGCTCCCTTTTTCCGCTGAGCGATCTAATGCCTTTCCTCCCAGCTCCTCTCGCGCGCGCAAATCTTCCTCAACCCCTCGCTCACCGAAGCGTTCGGTATCGGCATCCTTGAAGCCGCCTGCGCCGGCTTGTTCGTCGTATCGACCCGAGTAGGCGGCGTACCGGAAGTCTTGCCGCCTGGTCTCGTGGAGTTCGCCGAGCCTGATGTCGACGGTGCGTACTCCAAAATCTGTACTGCACTCGTGAGTATCACTGAAACCCCGCTCGCGCAGACCTCGTCCGAGCCATCTCGCGCGCAATCACCCACGTCCGATCCGGCTCGCACGACCCGCTGCTGGCGCACGAACAGCTCCGCCAAGTGTACTCCTGGACGGACGTCGCTGAACGTACCGAGCGTGTCTATTACCACGCCATGAGCGTGCCGCGAGTACCGGTCGTCGAGCGGTTGAGGAGGTGCGTTAGTTCACTTTCGCTTTGCAGGGTCGAGCTGACGGGTTGGGATAGGTACTACGGGACCGGAGCTGTTTTCGGCAAGATCATGTGCATCATCATCATCGTCGACTACATCCTTCTCGCCATTATGGATTACTTCAGCCCGCGCGACAAGATCGACCGGGCGCCCAAGTTTGACCTCGAGCGGTGGAAGCGGGTGCGTTCGCCTTCCGCGCCTCAAGCCCGCATGCTGAGGCGCTGAGTCGACTAATGCCCGCAGATCTGCCGTGAAGAGCTCGAGAAGGAGAGGGAGGCGGACGCGCGAGAAGCGCGAGAGGCGGACTTGTCGGGCGGCGGGAGCGATATCTAGCAGTGCAGGACACGTATATCTAGCAACAAAAAAGTCTATGGAAACCGCAAATGAGGGGGGTATAGGAAAGTCTTGTCGTAACGATATGCAACTCGCCTCCGTGACCGCATCACCGCAGGAAGCGCTTCTTGTCCCTCTCCTCCTTCTGCCTCCTCCACTCCTCCTCTTCTTCCTCCCTCGAGAGCTGGTCAGGCGTAGGCGGCAACTTGAGCGTCTCGCCCTCCTCCAAATCGATCACCGACCCGTCTTCCCACGGCAGGACTTCCTCAAACTCGTTCTCGTCGCCGTGCGCGCGTTGGGCGGAACCGGACTCGGCGGCGTCGATGGCGTCGAGGAGGGTTTCGGCTTCTCGGGGGATGCGGGTGCGGCCGGTCAGCTGCGGGACGAGAAAGGGTGAGTGGGTTGACGGGCTGAGATGGGCAGCAAAGCACGCACAATGTCCTTTTGCTGTTATTCGTTAAGGGTAGATCAAAGTCAGTGAGTTAGTGGGAGTCAGAGGAACGGCAGCGCAGACGGCACGAACCTTGACGCCAGGCCAGAAGTCTGCAAGCGAGAGATGTCAGCGACAAGCAGGACAGAACAGCAGCGTCCGTAACGCACACACTCGTTCGTTCTCGTCGAATCGACACACTGGGTTGTGGAAAACGGAGGAAGGAGGAAGCGGACGGCGTCAGTCGACGCCGATTTAGGGGGGAGGGAAGCGCCACGCACGGAACGCCTGTCCGACCAACTCGACTCCCGCATACAGTCCGCGTGTCCGGATGTAGCTCAGCACAGGCTGCCTGTCGGTCCCAACCTCGACACTCGCGCCCGACCCGTACGGTCCCGCCGCAACCGCAATCTCCGAGCCGATCGTCACCTTGGCCTGGGACGAGAACGAGTCGACGGCTTCTTGGGTCCGCAGAACGAGGATGCAATCGAAGAGGTCGAGGCCGGCCATGAAGCCGACCGTGAGATTGTTGGGTGAGATGAACGACGGGGCGGACCAGGTTCCGTCTTCCAACCGCGCAACGATGACGCCGCTCCCTCCCGCTCCGCCAAAGGGAAAAATCCCATTCCGCAACGAGCTGAAGATGACGAGGCCTTTGGCGCTGCGGAGGATCTTGGCGGGAATCTTGCGCATCACTTTGCGCTGAATCTTCTGGCCGGTCTTTTCGTCCTTCTTCTCGACTTTGACGCCGACGCCGTCGACTGTGAAGGCTGTGGGCAAAGGTGTCAGTAAGTTGGAGGGAGTGAAGGCGATAAAAGCGGCGCGCACATCTGATTATCCGCGCCGCCTTCTCCATCTCCTGCGGCCCGTCTCCCGTCGTAGGCCAGAACCGCTCGGCACCCACCTGCGATGAACGAGAAGGTCAGCACGGTCGGTGAAACGAAAGCGAAGGAGAACGAACCCGCTCAGCAATCCCGTTCGCGCGTCCGCCCACCGAGTCCGAGATTGCGATGCCCTGCCCGCCATACTGTCAGCTCACGGGATACCTAGCCACGCTTACGACCCCGCTACGCACTTTCACCACCGCCGTCGTCCCCCAGCTATTCCCCTTCCGTTTCATCCATTGCCCCCAAGTCTCCTTCGCCGGCGGCAGGTTCGGGTCGACAGACTTTTTGGGCGGTATCAGGCGCTTCGGCGGTGCAGGGTGCGAGACGAGCGGCGGTGTTGAAGCCATGAATCAGCTTCGGGATGAAAGGGAGCGAGGTGGGTCGAACGAGCGAGTGAGGGAGTGTCGGTGTGCGTGTGCGTGTGCACGTGTAACAGAGTTTGTGCGAGTCTATAGCGAGCTGTACGAGTCCCCAGCGAGAGTGTGAGCGAGCGAGGCGGTGGCAGCTGCGAAGTTCCGCCGTGCGCCGTTCGCCGAGGACAGTGGGACAGGGGAACTCGACCTTTGCTCTCTTGTACTCGCTTGTAATAAGTAGATAGCATACCGATAAACCTTACGACGGACTATCTACGACGAGCGAGGCGGCAGAACAGGCGGAGCTGTCGAGGGTTCTCCAACCTCTCCTCGAGCTGGCAATGACGGCGTCGAACCCTGCTTGAGCTCCTCTGCCTGCTCCCGTCCCATCCCCACCTGCCCCTGCTCCTGCTGCATTCCCTGGCCCATTGCCTGATCAGTCACAGGCGTCGCACCCGCATCCTTCGTCTCGAAAGGCTGGGCAAACTCGTACTCCGCGCCGTGCTGTCGTTGCGCAAAGCCGGTCTCGGCGTCTCGTAGGGCTTCGTAGAACGGTGTAGCGCTTGCGGTAGGACGGAAGTGGCCGGTGAGCTGTCGAGGGACAAGCGTCAGCGAAAGAGGTTGAGAAGCGAGGGAAGGAGGACGCGGACGCACGATGTCGCGCTGCGTTACACCCTTACAGCCATACTCCCGTTCGTTCTCATCGAAGCGACACAAGTACGCCGACGCGACCGCCTCAGCACCGATGTACGCACCCCTCGAGCGCATGTACGAAATGACCGGTTTGCGATCCGTCCCAGCGTCCGCCAGCGCGCCCGCTCCATACGGTCCTGCCGTCACAGCCAGCTGTCCACCGAGCGTGATCTTGTGGCTGTAGAAAGTCTGCAACGCTTCGTCCGTGTTGACGACCAGGACTGCCTCGAAGATGTCGACGCCGAGCATGAGGCCGCCCGTGATGGTCGCTGGTGCGATACAAGAGGGTGCGGACCAGCTCCCGTCCGGTAGGCGAGCGACGATGAGGCCTGACCCGCCTGCACCGCCGAGCGGAGCGATCCCACTCCGCATCGACGAATAGACGCAAACCGCCTTTGCCTCGCGCAAGACCGCCGCGGGGATCTTCACGAACACCTTTCCCTGCGTTTTCAATCCCGTCTTCGGCTCGGCTTTTTGCTCGACTCCATCGACAGTGAAAGCGCGCAGAATTCGCGTGCACTTGAGGACTTCTTCGGCAAAGTCGTGAGACGTTGGCCACCAACGCTCGCCGCCGACTTTCTCGGTCCAGTCGTTTGCGTAAGGGCCGATCTTGTCGCTGATGACGATGGCCTGCCGCAAACGAAGACGAGGGTCAGGCCGAGAAGACGAGCAGGGGAGAGAGGCAGAGGAAAGGAACGAACCTTATCAAACGCCTTCATTCCCCATGTCGAACTCTTTGCCTTCATCCGCGCCTTCCATCCCTGCTTCTCGCCGTCTGGAGGTGCGGCAGAGGGTGAAGCCGAGGTTGAGGGAGTCGTTCGGCGAGGGGGAGGAAGCGGTGCGCTGGACATGCGGGCGGTCGCGGGTCGGTAGATAGGGGTAGCAGGAGATACACGTGCACGCGACGAGGCAAGGAAAGAACCGCAGACGTTGTGAGAGGGTCGAGGGAAAGCAGCGAACGGGCCGAGGTGGTGAAGGAGCGAGGCGGTGCACAGCCGGAGAGCGAGCGAGGTCGGAAAGTCCACCAACCACCTCCTCGTACCGCTTCAGCCACGCCACGCACCGTACGAAAACATCACCTTTCCATCCCGGCTACTCCGCCGCCGGCCCGTCCCCCTTCTCCTCCTCGTCTCCCCAAACTCCGTCCGCCTCGCTCATCCCCGCAGGCCCAAACAGCGCCAACGTATTTCTCCTCGTTGTCTCCGCAACCTCCTCGAGCGAGACACCCTTGAGCTTTGAGATGACCCAGGCGACTTGGCCGGTGCAGCAGGGCTCGTTGCGGCCTTTGACGGCTTTGCCTTGGGTCCATTTCTCCTTCTTGACGTCGGCAGGCATGTAACGTTCCTGTGCCGCGGCAGATATGAGTCATGGGCGGCTGAGAGCGGAAGATTGAGCGGCAACACACCTTGAGATGCGCGACGTCGGGCTTGTCGACCAAGCCCGACAAGTGCTTGTACGCCGCTGACGACGGCCTAATCGCACACCACGGACAGTCTGATTCGACCATCAGACTGTCCAGCGGGATGCGCTTGACGACCTCTAGATTCTCTTCCGTCTTGAGCGAGCAGCCGTTGATGCCGATGAAGAAGCCCATCTCGATCAGCTCGAGAGCTTCTTCGGCTGTGCCGGTGTGCGAGTGGACGACGCCGCGCAGGGGTTTGCCGTGCGCCTTGAGGGTGGAGACGAAGTCGGTATGGCAGTTGCGCGAGTGCAGGAAGAGAGGGAGGTCGTGTCTGGAAGCCAGCCCAAGTTGCGGTGGGAAGTTTCTGTTCAGTGGGCAAGGTGAGCACGGTCAGGCTGGATTTGAGCTGTAGAAGTCAAGAGTCGAATGAAGAGGGTAGGCAACACACCTTAGCTGCGCCTCCTTCGGCGCGAGGAACAACCGATCATAGTCCAACCCACACTCTCCGACCGCCACCGCCCGCTTCCCCTTATTCTCGACGATAAGCTTGTCGAGTTCGGCGATGTACGCTTCGGGTCCGCCGGGAAACTTGTCCATCTCGGTTGCTCGACATGGGTGACAGCCGATGGTCGCGTAGAGGCCGCCTTTGCGCGAGCGACCGGGCTTAGCATCATATTCTCGAGGTTCTGAGATGAAAGAGAGAGCGTACGATGCTGTTGCGCCAGCGCGAGAACCTCCTTCGAACCCTCAAGACAGTCTCCCGTCAACATCTGGATTCCGACTCCCGCTCGTCGTGCCCGGCCGAGAATGTCGGCAAAGTCGTCTGCAGAGCCATGAACCGGTCAGCATCTTAAGTGGGCGAGGCGAAGGAAGCGGCGCACCGGGATGCGACTGCTTTCCGTGGTACGAGCCACGAAAGACTGGGTCGCCCAGGTTCGAGCCGATATCGATCAATCTAGGTACAGCCATTGTTCTAGCAGATCTAGCAAGCAGGCGAGCCAGGTTGTCGGCAGCAAAGTGTGTCGTCAAGGTGCGACAGTTGGTTTCCTCTCAACACCGCTCGATGATCACATCGAGACCCGCCAAAGCAGCCCCAGAACGACCGGCAGAGTCAGTCGCAGCCCGCCTAGTCCGCCTGCGCTCCGAACAAGCCAGCGGATCCCGCCCCCGCTTCTCATCACTTCCGCCACAAACCTCATCCTCAACTTCGCGATGGCTCGAGTCTGTGACGGCGGCTGAACGTCCAGCACCTCCAAGACCTGTAGACAGGAGGAGGGGTATCGCCGGTCCGCCTCCGCCGCCTTCGTGGCAAGCTGCAGCCGCCTCTGTTCGGATTGACCCCTCTCAAGCGGTCGATGGGCGCAACAGGCAGGGCACCTGGCTGAAGCCGCACGAGCTGGTGGAAAGGGAGAAGCTGGCGTCGCGGCTGAAGGGGCGAGCGAAGCCGAAGGAAGGACCCGTCGACCTGTTCGCGGCCGCCGGACGAGTCGTCGCAGACGACATCTCGCGCGGATCCGGCAGCATTCTCCTTGAACACGTCGCCTTCCTACCCAACCACCTTCGCATCCGCCTCCTCGATGTGTTCGCCGACTGGCGGAACCCGTCGCCTCTCACGGACGACGGGTTAAAGCAGTTGCTGCGACGGGATGTGAGCGATGGCGCGGAGCTTTCGCTGGAAGAGCTCGAGGCGCGGATGGATTCGTTGGCGGTGGATGATACGGAAGACGAGATTGAAAGCGACTGGGAGACAGCGCATGGGAAGGAGACGAACTCGCTCGACGCCCTCGACTCCCTCGATCTTTCTTTCTCGGCAGTCTCCCTTCGTACGCTTCGACAAGTCCTCCTCTACGACTCGCACGCTACGGCCTCGACGCAGCCCTCTCGACCATCTATACCATCACTGCCGCCTGCACCTCCGAAACTCGTTCCCTCCTTTCCGAACTTGCACACCCTGAACCTCACCTCAACGTCCCGAATCCCCTTCTCCGACACCTTCTTTGACCTCCTACCGTACCTTATCTCCCTCCGCTCGCTCTCGCTAGCCGGCAAGTCCATCGAGACCTCCTCCTCAACCGTTACCTCATCCTCCTTCCTCCCTCGGCTCGCGGCAGCCACTCCAACTCTTCGCGGGCTCGACGTAAGTTACATGGACTTCCCGCACGTCGCAGTCAAGAGCGTCGACTGGGATGTCCGATGGCTCGAACTGCGTGTCTTGGGGATGCGGAGGGAGTGGGTGGATTGGGAGGGCGAGGAGGTCGGGCCGGAGAAGCGCGAGCGGATGAGGCGGGAGGTATGGGACTTCATCAGCCAGGGTAGACAGAAGAAGCGGAGGTGGATTGAAGTGATTGTATAGCATGGCGCGCTTGATGCGAGAAAAGGCTGTTACCCCTCACAACACGACTAGCGGAACTGATACATGCGGATTGCATACTAGCTACTCCTGCTGCTATCGCCTCCTAGGACTTCGACTCCTGTCCCTCACGTCGCGGTCCCATCGACTCCGCTTGCTCTCCTTCCCTCGATCCCGCTCCTTCTCCCTCGGCCGGTCCCGGTCATCTCGATGTCTTGACCGGTCGTCGTCACGAGAATGAGAGGCAGAAGTGGAGGGAGCGGTGAAGGCGATTGAAGTGCGCTGGCCTGCTGTAGCTTGTTTTGCTTCAGAGCGGAGCTTTTGCAGTTCGGCTGGAGGACGCCGAGTGAGCAAGTTATTGAGAAGCAGGACTCAAGAGATGCACACGCACCTATCCGCGTCGCCGAAGCGTCCGCACCGATGTTCTTCGGATCCCAGATCTCCTTGTTCCAGTTCGTGCCCGTCTCGTCGACATCGACGAAGTCGACCAGCTTGGCGTAGATGCGAGGGTTGCGGAACGCTTTCGACGCGTGCAGGGAGTCGTTGAAGTGCAGGCCTCGGGAGACACGCAGGTTGTGGAAGTTGGTGAGTTTCGCCTGCGAGAAATGCGTCAGGGAGAATCCTGCGAAGCTAGTTCAGGGAGACGCACCTCGACGGATGGCTTGCATGGCCCTGTCGGTACCGGAGGGATGCCAAACTCTGCCAGCGTGTCCAGCCTGACGCTCGGAACGGGCCGCGATCCATCCTCTGAGCCGTAATCCGTTGAAGCCTGTCTCCGTCCCGCCTCTCCCCGCCCGTCTTGCCCTTCCCGTTCGAAGCGCGGCGGACTACTCGACGACTCTCGTCGTTTGCCGAGTGCAATAGGCGAAGGTCTGGGCGAGTTCGTCGTCGAGGTTGGGAGACGGACGCCGACGAGAGGAGATTGCGAGCGCGAGGCGGCGCCTTTGATCCGGTTCAAGGCTGGCGGTGCTAGTACTTCAGTCAATGTCAGCGAGGAAGAAGTCGATTTACAGAACTGGGACGCACCGGCTGGAGGAGCGGTCGCAGGGTCAGATGTAGCCTGAGGAAAGCGAGAGCGGCGAGACAGTCGCGTGCGCCTGGTCCGCCCCGTCATGCCAGCGAGCAAGAGGGTCTCACCTGCAACCTTGCGCCCGAAGAACCCGCCACGGCACTCGCTGCCCGTCCATCTCGTTCACTGTCGGAGTCCGAGTCGCTGCCGTACCCAGCGAGGTCTGCGGTGTTCTGCGGTCAGCTTAGCGTTACCAGCAGTGCCCGTGTAAGCTGCTCACTCTGCATCCTGGCAATCTGAGCGGTGTCGCGATGGTGACGGAGCCAACTTGTTCCTCACCCTCCTCGATGAGGTCGACCTCCTGCCTCACGCTCGCTTTCGCTCGTACGAGTCACTTGACCGCTTTCCAGAACCCTCTCTGAGCTCTCGCGACGTGCGCCTGGCCGCCCGCCCTTCCCTACCTTGCCTGCGCCTCCTCCCTCTCCTCGCTCGACACGAATCCGTGAGTTCCTCTTCTGCGGCAACGCGCAACGCCAGCTGAACATATTGATGATGGCGGCAGGGCCGAGCCGTCGCCAGATCGTTGGAGATGTCGCCGCAGCTTGAGGAGGTCGTGCAACTCCTCAACGACTTTCCGGACGAGCAGACGGTATGGACTGAATCTTCCTCGCTTCTTGCAGCCGTTGTACTGACTCGAATCCGTACAGGCCCTCGCGCAAGCTATGCGCGTCGAAGGCTCGCTGCCTGGACCAGAAGACGGCATCTGGGCGACTTCAACGCAGCAGAAGCTGCTGTCGGAAAGCCTTGAGCGACTCACCTTGCTTGCTACGCCGCCAGCGTACTTGGGAGACGACGACGAGGACCTCGGTATGCCACACTGGTGTTTCCTTCGCTAAAGTCGTCGCTTACAGACCTATGCTCGACAGACGCCGCAGCTACGTTGGCGAAAGAGCGCTTCTTGCGAAACGTCCGGTCACTCTCGCAACTCGCACAATCGCTATCGAGGCGTCTCACGCAACCCTCGGAACCGGTGGCACGAGATGAGCTGGACTTGCGGGTAAGGCTCATTCTGTCCTTCGGACGCTTTACGGGACAGTCAGAAGTCGCCGAGGAAGCATCTTCTGCCGGTGCGTACAAAATCTTTACTCGAAGCGTGTCCGATGCGGCTGACCTCTCAACCTTGCAGCGCTCTGCGATGGACTCCTTTCCCGCCCATACTTCATCCGTCTACCACTGCTTCGGCACATCCTCTCCGTCTCGCTTCCTCCCTTCTTCAAGCCTCACCCGAACCTCAACCCGTCGACCGGACGTGTCTTGTCTCGACCGCTTGGCGGAGACAGCGGGATCCAGCACTGGTACGAGGAGAGCGAGGACGACGCGACAAGCTGGCGGCGGCAGCCTGGACTCGGCGCGGTTGTCGAGCTAGTCATCAACGCTCTCCAGGTAAGCCACAGACTTGCTCTTTTTCGTTGGGCGTGCTGCCTCTCTGCTGACCTCGCCTTGGTCCAGCCTGGCGAGATCGAGGATCTCTGGCCGCTTCTCCTCCCGCCCTTGCTCGCCTACCTCGACGACTACGACGCGAAAAACAAGCTTGTCGGCCTCTCGCTCCTGGACGCCCTGCTCGCCAAGGTGGACGCGAGCCTGTTGCGAAGAACGGGCGTCGGCAAGGTCTTCGAGAAGGTGAGCTGCGCTGATCCGCGGTTCACTTCCCCTGCATCATGCTGACGGTAGCGTGTCTCGGCAGTCTCTTGACCTCTGCTTCTCCTCCCTCTCCGACCCTCTTACACCCACCCTCCTCGAACGCGCCCACCCCGTTGCCCTCAAGCTCCTCAACCTCCAGTACCCGCATTTCAATCCCTCTCGACCCGCCGAAAAAGACGACTCAGCCCGCTTCACCGCCCTCTGCTCGCTCCTTGCCTCGTCCATCATCAAAGCCTGGGAGTTCAAGGCCGGAAACGTCGAGGTCGAGTCTGTCTCTTGTCGCGCTCTGCCACCTCTGCTCGACGCACTGGGGAGCGGGACGATCCGCTACCTCCAGATTTTGGTCCCGCACTTCGCGGACCTGCTGGCGACGACCGCGACAGCCGGCGGCGGAGGGACTTGGACGCTGGAGACGATCGCGCTTATGACGGAAGCGAGCAAGGCTCTCCTGAGTGTCATTGCGAACGGCAAGCTACGCATCAAGCGATGGGAGGGAAGGATCGGAGGAGCGGTCGCGCAGTGCTGGGTTGGGGTGAACGAGAGTCCTGCGGCGAAGAAGCTGCGGTCGGGTACAGCGGGCGCAAATTCGATGCAGGAGCTCGAGGAGGGTCTTCAGAAGGTCATGGCGGTGCTGGGCGAAGCGACTGGATCGGAGAAGGTGAGCTTTCAAAGGCCTCTTCCTTGCGCTTTCCTCGCTGACTATCCGCCACCTCGCGCAGGCTATCGCTGAGCGTTTAGAGCGCCTCGACCCGTCCTTCGACCGTATCGTAAGGCCTACTGTGGGACTTGTGCAATGAACGGCACGCGCCTCTCGAGCATCAAGCTGCTCCGCAAGCGAGAGTGTCTGTTCGTTCCAACGCGTCTATACGCCCTTCGCTCTATCTACGCCCTCGGCACATCCGGCAGCGCAGGCCACGACTCGCTCATGAAGTCCCAATTCTCCGTGCCCATCAAGTTCTCGCACCAGCCTTGCCATTCGTTCTGCAGGTAGTCGGGTAGTCCGCCTTCGGTCGTTAGTGGCGGAACGGAGAGAGTTGGACCGGCGAGCGAGAGAGACCCGGGAGGTCCGAAGGGGAGGGCGGCGATGGAGACGGGCGGGAAGGTAGGCGGGAGGGAGAGGGTCGGGTATTGCGAAGGGTGTGGAGCTGTCGATGAGAAGGAGTCAGTCGCTGGGCAAGTAGAGTACAGGCGAAAGTACGGACGAGGCATGGCAGCGACTCCGCCA